GAAACCAACAGCCACGATCTACACCCCTGAAACCACTAGCCCAAAAAACCCAAAACCAACAGCCAGAAACCCTAAACACGATCTATAGCCCTAAACCCCATAGCCAAAAACCCTAAACTTCTAAACCTTACAACCTAGGACAAACCTGAACCAGAACCCATGACTCCTTTTGAGGACGAGGTGAAGGTACGGTTGATGGCATAAATCCTGCATTACCTTAATGGCCCTAGATTATGGGAATTATGGTATATTCCTTATTACATGGGTAGTGCAGGATTTATATCATCAACCGTATTGTAGGGGCCTTAAACATTAGAACAGGGTTCCTTTGAGGGGGGATCCTCTATAGTAGGGTACTGTAATATGAGGGGCTTCTACTGCAGCAAGCCATCCGGGTGCCTCATTCGTGCCCAGCTGACCTTGCCGGCGTCTTCCGTCACCGGCATGATGTACTGCTTGTTCACCGTGTGGATGTTTGGCCCATACTGATCGTCGGACGACTCAAACGGGTCACTGTCATCAAAAGGCCGAATCTCCGCACACTGGACGGCGCGCCAAACCTCCTGCCGCAAATAGATCAAGTCAGACCGCGTGACGCATCACCGATCGGGAGATACGCTCTCATGCAAAGCCCAAGCCTCTCGCGTCGTAAACCTCGTTGACCTTCGAGATACAGCCATGTCGCGGGCGAAGCTCAACTACGAAACCATGTAGTGCAGTTCCCTTGCGTAGCTTCCACAATGGGCTTCGGCAAAAGCTTGCAAAAGCCCCGATACTTGAAACCAACTTGTCCTTCGAGTTTACATATCTTAAGCTGTGAGGCTGCGGTTCAGCTGGTGATCTGAATCAAGCTCCACCCCCGTCTCTGAAGATTACGTCTTCGAAGAGCAGTGGCCACACGACTTTTGTCCGAACTCTCAAAACCGCCTGCAATTACCCTCTCATTTTCTGCTTCAACTCTTACACTTTGCAACACAGAAGGCCTTTACTGGGTTGTTCTTCATGGCCTCTTCGCGAAAAAGACCCCCAAAACGCAATCTATCTGAAGGATTTGGGATGTGGCACTGCGAATAATAAATTCGTTGAGCTTGAAGCTTGGGGCTTAGCAAGGTTGTCGCATTGCAGATTGAACTGGCTGGGCATGAAAGTAAATTGCAGGAACGCTTTTCGGGGCTCATAAAGAAACGATCGCATTGCGATTTAGAAGTTCCGGGTTTCTGATGTAAGGAAAACTCTAGCTGCTTGCTGCAACTTGATCCTCTGATATCGGGGGCCTTCCTGATTAGACTAGGGTTTGGGGCCCGCTACACTATAGTTGGAACAACAAGGAACCCCCACAAAAGTATAGGCAATTATTTAGGCACCTACATTTTCTACATAATTACAGTATAGTGGGCCCCAACACCCCACTCTCACGATTTCGCCACCTATCTGCTGATGATACAAATCCTGCATTGCCCATACTACGTCATATACCAGAATTCCTGCAGTTTAGGGTCCTTAAGGTAATGCTGGATTTATATCATCAACCGTAGTAGCTCCATCCTCTACCGGTCGAAAGGCCCAAGTCCCTCCGATCGGAGCTGCTTTGCGGCGGTTGTTTAGGGTTTAGGGTGCGGTTTTGCTGACCTTACCAAGGGGTGTCTGGTCTAAGGTTTGCCCAGACCCCCTGGAGGATCCAAAAAGTCGATCCCTTAATGGGGTTCCTATATAGTACCCTTCGTAGTATACGGCCCCCAAAACTTGGGGATCTACTTTCTAGATCCTCCAGGGGGTCTGGGGAACAAATGCTGGGAGAATTGAGAAGCCCCGAAGGGTCCGGAGTAACTAATGCAAGGGCCTTACCCATAGGCTCCATAGTAGTTCCCTTTCGGGGTTCAGATTTAGAATCCTATAAAGAAACCCCAAAAAGGAACTACTATGGAGCCTACAGGAAATAGTTTGAATAGGGTGGTTATGTCTTGTAATTATAGTTTAATAACACCCAAACCCTCTTCTAATTATTCAGCCCCTAATATTAAGTACTAGAATCTAGTCTTCCTATAATCGAATCTATTGTTACAATTCGGGGAAGTCGCCCCCATAACAGTACTTAGGACAAAAGATCTGATTATCACCTATTCATACCATGTCGATTTTTATATCACAAGCTGTGACTACGCTGTTGTGAAGGAGATGCAATATGTGCAACCTGTGGAGTCCGAAATCTGAAGTAACTTGTCACCTCTCACCGTCTGCATCGAATCATTCGCTGTGGGCTTCCAGAACCCAAGTATTTGGTTGTTATGTCAGAAAACTTCATGTCACTCCAAACTGCTTATTAGTAGGCACCGCCGTAAGATCATGGGAATGGACTTCAATGCCGGCTACGGATGAAGGTTTAAACTTTTATGTTTGGGTGGCAATCTGGGTTGCAGTGTTTGGCATTGATCACCAAAATACTTCGGGAGAATACACAGTGCAGGGTTATAAAGAAACGATTCTACCCATGAGGGGGCTCCTACATTCGGCCCTCGGATTGCAAATGGACCCTAAACCCTACACCCCTAAACCGTGGGCAAAGCACCCTGGCCCGAGACATACATGCTGAATCCTGCACGATCCTTCACCCCTTCAAACCCAGAGACCTTACATATAGGCCCCATAGTAATCCCTTTTTGAGGTTAGCTTATAGGATTATAAACATCAACCCAAAAAGGAAGTACTATGGGACGTACCCAGAGACTCCAATATCCCTTAATTAAGGAATATACCTTAAATCATAATGGGATCCTTAATATGATTTAAGGAATCTTCCTTAATTAAGGGATAATGTGCCGGTCGGTTTAGGAATATGGGCTCCTTTAATGCGTTTACTCCGGGGCTAATTCCGACCGGTACCAAAAATTTGGGCGGTCTAATTAATGCGTTGTTTTTTTTGCTGGGGTGATTTTTTGGGGGTGGGGCTGTGCTGTCTGCTGATGGTCAATCTTAAGGCAGCCACGACCTAAACCCCCACGCAAACCCTAAAACCCTGGCCCTGAAGCCCGAAAATCTCTTGCAGAATTGTTTCGCTTATTGGGGCGTCAGGTACTACTAATTACTGTACTACTACTGTACTACTACTACTGTACTACTATTGTGCTATTGTGCTGCTACTGTATGCCTTGCTTATTGGGGGGGGCTGCTGGGGTGAACAGCCGAATCGGGAATTGGACCCTTGCTCAAAAGAGGCCTCTCCAGTACTAAAGTTTGCATAAAAAATTCAATTTTGGGTCGAATCTGGACTGATCCCCTTTGGGAAGGGTTTAGGGTTTAGGGCTTGGTAGGGTTTAGGAGTTTAGGATTCGTTAGGGTTTAGGGTTTGGGGTTTGTTAGGGTTTAGGGTTCAGGGTTTAACGGTTGTTAGGGTTTAGGGTTTATAAGGGTTTCGGGCGCTGGCTTTATGCTTTACTTATTGGGGGAATGTGCTCACTGGCTTTATGATGCTTTGCTTATTGGTACTATTTCTGTACTATTACAGTACTACTATTGTACTACTACTGTACAACTACTGTACTACGGCACTACTATTGTACTACTACTGTACTACTGTACTACTGCTGCATTACTGCGGTACTTCTACTGTACTACTACTGTAATACTACTGCACTACTGTACTACTATTGTACTACTACTGTACTACTGTTGTATTACTATTGTACTACTGCACTAATATTGTACTACTACTGTAGTACTATTGTACTACGGTACTATTATCGTACTATTACTGTACGACTCTACTACTGTACTACTACTGCGCTACTATTGTACTACTGTACTATTATTGTCCTACTACTGTACTACCACTGTACTACTACTGTACTTCTATGGTACTGCTACTGTACTACTGTTGTATTACTATTGTACTACTGCACTATTATTGTACCGCACCAAGCTTCAGACGTGGTCGATTGTGGGTGGGAGTGTGGGAGTGTAGGTTGGAGGCAAAAGTATTCAAAATAAAGGGTTTTTAGTCTTGGTAGTTATCTTGGAGTGATCGGGGCTTAGTTTCCAGCATTTGGTGATCCCCAGACCCCCCCGACCGTGCATTCGCGCAGAACCCCCCCAAACCCCGGCACCTCCCAATCCCCTGCCACTAGGATCCCTGACCCCTGTCCGGGGTTACCGGTTCCAAATTAATTAGACCAAGACTTTTTGGTTGGGGGGGGCCCGTCTACTATTCCGACCGCCACATTACAGTAGAAGCCAGAAAGTTGGAGTATCATTATCGTAACCCCTTTAAGGTCAATTATGGGGGATCCTACCATTAATCCATATTCCAACTTTCTGGAGTTCCCTTGAATGGAGTCTCTGGGTATGGGTATGCATATCCCACGGTTTCAAAGTCCAGGAGACCCGGAGCTGCTCATGCCTTTTCTCTTCGACAAGCCAGGCCAAGACCACACCATGGTGCGTTGGTTGGGTGCAGTTTACCCAGAGACTCCAATACTCCTTAATTAAGGAATATTCCTTAAATCAAATTATAATAGGATCCCTAATATGATTTAAGGAATATTCCTTAATTAAGGGGTATTGGAGTCTCTGCCCCCACCCCGTAATAGTGGTATAGTAGGAATATAATAGGGCCCTAATATAATCCTTATAGTGACTATTACAGGGTGGGGGCAGCTTCTAAGTTCTATCTATAGTCTCCATTGTAGTTCCTTCCTTAGGTTTAGCCAATTTTATACTAAGGATCCTCAAAAGTAGCCCAAAAAAGGAACTACAATGGACACTATAGGTACAGTAAGCCCCATAAAGTTGGAAACCGGATCAAGGCCAAATAGTGCTGGGATTCCCCATACGTTACTCTTAAGGATCGAGGCTATGGGGTTTCCAACTTTTGGGCTTCTACGGTAGGGGTTTAGGGTTGTTTAGGATTTAGGGTTTGGGGTGTTACGGTTTAGGGCATATAGTGGCATGATGACATTCGTACGCCGGTAGCGGTGCTACACTTCAGAAGCGACAGCCAGCTTTAGCTATTCCGTAGAGTCAGTTGAGGAAGGAGACGAATCTCTTTCACATTCTGTTTCCATTCGCAACGGAGCGTGAAAGGGTCCTTCGCCTCGGCTGTTTCTCGGAATATTCCGAGCTCTACCGGTGTCTGCCCCAAGGGCTCCACAGTAGTTCCTTGTTGGGATTACCTTATAGGACCTATTATAGGATATGTGAACCCCCAAAAGGAACTACTATGGAGCCTATGGGTAGGGTGCCGAAACGAATGTAGGCTGGTGAGTCTACAGCAGATTTGGGTTCAAGCTTGGGGTTTACACGCAAAGGTTACACATGCCTCAACCTTGCATACACTTTTACTAGCAGGAAGGATGGGTCGAGAGCCCCCCAAAATGGGTCCTGCCCCTGACTGAGAGTCTGCGAATCACATCCCAGGCAATCACACAACCAAGCTTTCGAATGCAAGGGCAAATTGCGTTCTCGGAGATCCTAAAAGCCAGATATCAGTCACCCAGCAAAACGTCTGCGCTGCAAGCCAGGAAGCTCCGCAAAACGCAGCAGCCTGCAGACGAAGTTTTGCTTCCTACAAGCTCCCAGACAGTGCTTCATCGGCGTTTCCATCAGTAGTTCCTTTTTGGGATTACCTGATAGGATTCTGAATATGAGCCCCAAAACGGAACTACCATGGAGCCGATGGGTAAGTGTAAGTTCGAGACGAGGTCATGTCCTCGGGCCGGATGAACCTTCCCTGAAAATTCATGGGGTGGTTGTCAAAATTGGGGTCCCTTTTTGGGGCACCTTAAATTAAATATGAGGTGCCGTATTATAATAAGGATCCAAAAAGGGACCATAATATTGACAACCACCCATGTGCCTATCTGGTATACACTTTGGCCTTAAACTACTCGCCAGATGGGTTACACGGGCACATGGGCCCTTGAACCCCGATCCACTGAATCTTAAATCTCTTGCCTGTGGCACTAAACTTTACGAAATACTTGTGAATCCTCAGTTCAAGGGTATAACTCTCAAAAACACTATGTTCCTGGATCTCCAGGGAAGGATTTACCCACTTGATCTGCGATGCGGGCTTTAAAGTTTGCGACCAACTCGGTGTCGGTGCAAGCCTGTGCCATTATACCCTGGTGTTAAGGGAACTCCAGAAAGTTGGAATATGGATTAATGGTAGGACCCCCTATAATTTACCTTAAAGGGGTTACGATAATGATATTCCAACTATATTCCAACTTTCTGGCTTCTACTGTAGGGCTTAGGGTCTCTATTGTTGGGTGTAGGCTTTCGGCTCCAGTACTCCGACAATCCAGGCGATGCATACGGCCACAAGTCTGTTGGGCTATATTAAGCTTATGGTTTAGGGCCCTTACAGGGTTTAGTTTAGGGCTAAGGACGTAATGTTTGTCGTATCTCAATAGGCTTTAGCTATCTTGCGGACCTAAGAAGAGACCTTAGTTTAGGAAACTACCCATATCCTGAAGCACAGAGTCTCACTGGCAATCGATCGTCCTAAATCGGCTTCGCAAACCATGGTGGAACGGCTGATGGACAAAATCCTGCATGACCCTAAGGACTCTAAACTATGGGAACTATGATATATTCCTTATAAAGGGTAATGCAGGATTTTGTCCATCAACCGAATCAACACGTGACGCACACATGCTCCGGAAGACCCCCATTTTCTCTCAACCCGATAGTTCACAACCACAAACCTTCAAATGCGAGATGTTGGAGTCCACAGTTTCTGAAGGGCTCCAGTTCCCGAAATACTAATGGAGCCTTAATTATTAGAAAAGATTTTGGGGCCCATTATACTAGAAGTATAGTAAGGAACCCCCACAATAGTATTGGTAGTTGATTAGGCCACTATACTACTGGGTCGAGCCTGTAACAGCCTTTACAAGGGAAAAAGGAGGGACCCTTAATAAGGACCCCTAGGCATGTACCCTTATTAAAGCCAGGATATCCTCATTATCTAGCCCATTATAGGGTAGGGCAGGGGTCCCCATCAAAGGTTCCCTCCGTTTCCCCTTTGAGCCTTTTGCTCCTTTAATGGGTAGCATGACGAGGGAGACCCCTTAATGGGTACCCCTTCCGAACCCTACTTCTGGCTCTCTTAAAAGGGACCATATTGAGAGGGTCCATATCCCCGAGGGTCCCCCTAATCCGAACTCCCATTTCAACTATCGCTGCTGCCTCGTCCTCGCGCCAAAAAGAGCTGGAGCAAGACAGTTCCGCAAAGGGGCAGAGATGCCAGTCGCTTCATGCCGAGACCTGAAATGACAGCTAGGACTGTCGTCGAAAACTCTAGGAAAACTTGAAGATACACTGTTTCAGTCCGATAAACGTCGCTTAGAGTGTCTTCATAGAAGGATCAATACGTGGGCAATGATGATTGAATACCGCTCTACTATTTAGCTAGAGCATGTGCGCGACAGGTAGCAGTGCTCGAGTATACATTCGCTGGGGTGTTCAACGTGTCATTACAGTAGGAGTGGCAGTAAGCGAAGGCAGCTGGTGCCAACACGTGCTGGGACGCTGGGCGATTTACTTCTCAATGCCTGTTGGCTAAGGACACCCCCGCTGCAGGATACAGGGGAGTGCTGGAATCCATTTCACTAAGATAAGGCTCCGACTGATTAGCCTGCTATAAAGCTGACAGCACAGAGCACGGATGTTCACAGTGCTTGTGATTGAGCCAGTCGAACATGCGGGTGGCTTGCACTCTATAGGTGTAGAAGTGGAGTAGCAACCGCGATTGCAGGTGCAGGGTGTACAGATGCCTTTGTTTGCAGTAACACTGCAGCTCCTTCCCAGGGACTCCAATATCCCGTAAATAAGGCATATACCGTAAATTAAAGTGTAATTCAGGTGCCTTAATAATTGGAATAGGGTTTTGGGGCCCATAATACTATAATTATAACAAGGAACCCCCAAAATAGTATTGGTAATTATTTATTTAGGTCCCTATATTATAAATTCCTTAATTGAGGGATGTTGGAGACTGCGGGTTCCCTCAGTGAGGTACATCTTGCGAGCAAATCTTCCTCTGCCCGCTTCGACGCGTCGGACGACCGATTCGGGCGAGGTTGTATATCCCAAAGGGTCCAACGGTCGATGATAAAAATCCTGCATTACCTTAATGGCTCTAGACTATGGGAGTTATGGTTATGGCATATAATCCTTATTATGGGTAATGCAGGATTTATATCATCAACCGAAGTACCATTATAGTAGGTCTTTTGGCCCCCAACATATATACTGTACGAGTACTTGTACCCTTTGGGTATGGTGCTCAGGAACGATTAGATTATAGAGTTGATCAGGGTGAAAAGGTGCTAGAAGAAATGAACTTGGCTCATTGTGGGTTTATACCGGAAAAGGAGACGCTAGTGCAGGCAGAGTGCACGCAAGTCCGAGCATGATCGTGTAAACCGTCAGGGGCACAGCAAACCAAATCAGATACCTTGCAATTGTGCTCCGCTGAGTCTCCCAAACTGCAACAAGAGGACAACATGTGACCAGGTAAACGGCCACAATTTTGGAGATCATTTTCAAGATGAAGCATCTTTCATCACGAGGCGAACGCCATAACAGGAGGAGCAGGCCAAGACGAGCCGCAACGGTGATGCTGAGCATGAGCCACAGGGGGGCAATTACCAGGTCGATACCGTTGCGAAGGTACACGACGTCGCAATAAATAGACCACGAGGTTTCAAAGGTGAGCGGCACCAGCGCAACGAAAGGAAAAGCGATCTCGGCGTGACCCGCACCTCGAATCTCAATGCCTCGATGTGCAATGTCTCGAAGGGTTGACGATGACATCCCTGCGGCTAGAAGCACATAGATAGCATAGTCGACATCAGCGATTTTCTCGCCAATCTCTTCGAAAATCCTTGCTGCATCAGCTGGCTGAGAACATGTTGCCTGCACTATGCTGCCCGAAAAGCCACAGCTGAGATATTCGGATTCCTCCATCCTGGCTTGGCCGTTGACGCGGTCCACCTCCAACAGCAAGAAGAGAGTCCAACCAGCGACAAGAAGCAAGTGCTGCTCCACAAAGGCCGTAAAAGCAGGCATCTCCTCAACAGCAGTTCGCCAATGCACGAAAAGGACGCCAACGGCCAAGGCACCGATCGCATTCAAGAGCTTGCGACAGCTACCTTGGTTGATGTTGGCGCTGATACCTGCGGCGACCACTACGACGTAGAGGGGAACCGACTGCATCTTGATGTCTCGCGAACAAAAGCCTGGAGTGTTATGAAGGCGGCCAATATCATAAATGCTTTGCTTGCATGCTACCTACATTGACATGCGTATAATATGAACTATTCAGACATGGACACTTAGGCTTGAACAAACTCTTTAACAACGGGAATATCAGCATCGAAGGCACCACATACCACGCCCAGGAGTCCTGAAGGCAAGTCGGTCCACCAAGCGTTAAACGGCTTCGGACAGCCTAACCAAATCCTAAACTGAACCCAAAACCCTCCTCTCGAGGGTCACGGTATACTCCCAGTAAGGAACTCTTAGTGTCAGCCATGAAACCGCAAACCCCGAAACCATAACCCTTAAACAACGCTGCCACGTGCTATTCACGCGCGCCTTTCCAAGCATGTAGCAGGAGGAAGCGTAGTTTTATATGGCACGCGCAGCACTTTCAGGCTTTGCAACAGTGGGAACTGAAGAAGGTCGACGCACGGAAACTATCAGTATTTTGGTAAGAAATGCGCTGCGGCTTGGGTTTTGGACACATCGAGGTGTTTAAGTAAAGCTTTTCACGGAACAAGCTGCTTCGCACATGTCTTGCTCTGCGGGCATGGATATGGTCTGATCTGGACGTTATCATGCTTGGCACATGGATGCTCTGCGGGCATGGATATGGTCTGATCTGGACGCTATCATGGTTGCCACATGGATGCTCTGCGGGCATGGGTATGGTCTGATCTGGACGTTATCATGGTGGCCACATGGATGCTCTGCCGGCATGGATATGGTCTGATCTGGACGTTATCATGGTTGGCACATGGATGCTCTGCGGGCATGGATATGGTCTGATCTGGACGTTATCATGCTTGGCACATGGATGCTCTGCGGGTATGGATATGGTCTGATCTGGACGTTATCATGCTTGCCACATGGATGCTCTGATATGGTCTGATCTAGACGTTATCATGGTCGGCACATGGATGCTCTGCGAAAACAACGGCAGGTGCGAGGCTTTCGGCTGCAAAGTCGAGGAAACACCGTAAATACCGTTACATTCGATGCCTCAACGCCCGCGCCTCCACTACCCCCCGAAAAACACGACAGGCGCGACGTTTTCGGCTGCAAGGTTCAGGAAACACCGTAAATACCGATGCGGTCGGCGTCTGCGCGGCGCGCGTGAACAGCACGTCGGTGCCTTAAACAACCCCTAAAACCCTAAAGCCCTGAACCCCTAAACCTGTTTTTTTGCCACTGGGCTTGGGGCTAGCCAGATCCTTCCACCCTAAATCCTAAACCCTAATTAGGCTCCCAAAGAAAATGCCTCGGACCGATGGCGTCCTGAGAGGCTAGTGTAGATGATGGCACTGCGAAGCTGCTTCTTGTTCGAAGCCTTGTACTTAAGGTTTAGAGTCTATAGGGTTTAGGGTTTTGGGGGGTTAGGGTTTAGAGTTTATCGGGTTTAGAGATTAGGGTTTAGGGTTTTAGAGTTTAGGGTTTTTCAGCTTCAGAAAAAAGATTCCAGCAGTATTTGGGGAGCTAAGAAGCTCTGGCAATGAAGATCGTCTTTCCTTCCTCGTGGGCGCAGTAGGCTTCGTAGCCGCACCAGAGTCTAGCCGGAGCAAGCACTCGATCTATATTTGGAATTAGAATTTGGGGGCCTTTATATAATTCTTATAAGGTATTGGGGCCCAGTATACTATAATTATAGGTCCCTATAGTAGTAGGGTGCCAGACGTAGGGTTTACTTCACATAGGGTTCATCTGCGTGTGGTTTGATTTCGAGTCCCATCACTCGAGTTTCGACAAAGCCTCGTGTAGATGCTGCAGTGGCGGTTGGGCACCACAAGGACGCACGTGGAGGCTTGGAGAGCTAGTGCGAAGGGCGATCTGCTGGGAGATTGCAAGTAGGAGCCTATGTCCAAATTCTGCGGGTTGGCCAGCATGCAACACCAGACGTGTCGTGAACCTGCGGGCCAGGAGTGCAAGACCTTGGACAGGAACTCGAAAACACCCTCCTGCCAGGCATGGCTGATGAACAAGTCGCAATCCAAGCCATGCGGATGCAACATCAGTGCCCAGCTGACCTTGCCGGCGTCTTCCGTCACCGGCATGATGTACTGCTTGTTCACCGTGTGGATGTTTGGCCCATACTGATCGTCGGACGACTCAAACGGGTCACTGTCATCAAGCGCACGAATCTCCCCACACTGGACGGCGCGCCAAACCTCCTGCCGCAAATAGATCAAGTCTGACCGCGTGACGCACCAGCGGTCGGGAGATACGCTCTCATGCAGAGCCAAAGCCTCCGGCGTCGTAAACCTCGTTGACGACCGACATCTGGCCATCCCGCTTTCCGAAGTCAACTAATACACGGGCCTTAACAATTAGAACAGGCCTTTGGAGTATACTTTTTGAACATGCATGACAAGGAGCGCCAAGGAATAACATGAGTAATTCTTAAGGCTTTTACAACTATATATGAATACCGGAAACTGTCTTCTCCGAAAACCGGGCCAAACAAGTTCAAGCGTTCAAAGATAGACCAAAACATATATAGTAGAAGCCAGAAAGTTGGAACATGGCTTTAGGAGGATTAGTGCTAGGATCCCTTATACTTTACCTTAAGGGCATGAGGCCAATGATGTTCCAACTTTCTGGCTTCTACTGTAAGGCCAACATGTATCAAGTTCCCATGCCCCACTGGCTTCTTAAAACCCGAAGCCCTGAAACGAACATCATGTAGGGACCTGATTAAGCAACCCTGGACCCCCCCCAATAGTAGGATCCATATTAAGAACCCTATAGGATAGTTTATTGAATCTGAAATCCTACCTTATTCCCGTAATAAAGGACCAAGGATTCTTAATCAGGTTCCTACATTACTTCCCTTTCTGCGGCTCCAAGCCAGCGACGACTCCAGAGCCCCCTGTCCCTGAAAAGGATCTGGGGGTTTCCGATTTGGGGGTACCTTATTTTGGGGGTATCTCATAATAAGGATCCTACTAATTAGGGTACTATATTAGGGTCCCTAATTTCGGAAACCCCCCATCTAAACCCAGAAGGGCTTAGGGTTGAGGACCTTTAGGGTTGAGAGCTGTAGGGCATAAGGGTTAGGCTTCCTACTTGTCGAGTATCATGGGGAACTAAAGGTTAACCTTTTTGCTTACATAGGGATCAAATAGGGACTATACTATCCAAAAAAGGTGAAAGGTTGCCTACTCGACTGCTAGGGTTTAGGGCCTTTGAGTTCCGGGTTTTAGGGTTAAGTTTGGGGTCTTTGTCCCTCTCGCATGTTTATTGTCGCTGGGGCTTGGGGCTTCATACCATGTAGAAGTTTCCATCTCAGGCTGTGAAGCTGCGGTAGCGAGACCTGTCTGCACACGTGGTTGTACACATGATTCCTTTGTCTGAGCACGGAAATAACCACGGCTTCTTTCAGGTCTGCTTCCGAAAAACCTTTCAACGGGTTCTTCTAAATGCTCTCCAGCAGTATCCCAACTGCCACCTAGCTGAAGGCTTTGGGGCGCAGCGCTGCGGCTGCGAGCTTAGGCTTCTCAGTTTCGGGTTCAATGTTCTGCGCCTTCTGCTTCAGGATTCAAGGCTGTCGGATTACAGATTGACATACTTTCGGGCTCAGAACACTTAAGGATTGAACTTACCTTTGGCAAGTAGGGAATGGAGGAATGGGGTACAATGGTGAGAGTACCGGGTCGGGAGAATACACAGCGCACCGTCGGCAAAGAAACGATTCTACCCATTGCGAGGTCTCCTACATTCGGCACTCGGCCAGCAGATGATGTTGCAAGGTGCGGAGTGGCGAGCTTCTTCTTCTTGTGTGAGGGAGACAACCCTACATGATCCCGAACCCTACACCCACCACCCTTCTAAACCCTATGCACGCCTTTGCGGCTCAGGATTTGGACGTTCAGGGTTTATAGGTTCTAGACTGACTCTAAACCCTATAAAGCCTACCCATAGGCTCCATAGTAGATTCCACAAATGAACCCCAAAAAGGAACTATATACTATGGAGCCTATGGGTATCCGACTAGCACTCACTGTCTGGTGCTTAGTAGGGAATGGGGGAATGCATCCCGAGTGGGCCCTTTTTGGGTGGTTGTCAATATTAGGGTCCCTTTTGGGGTCCTTATTATAACACGGCACCTAATATTTAGGGTACCCCCAAAAGGGACCCAAATTTCGACAACCACGCATACAATCCCCAATAGTAGTTTTCATAATCCATTCCCCCATTCCCTACTAAGAACCAGACAGTCTAGTACCCATAGAGTATCCCTTATAGTAACCCTCAAAGGAACCCTTAGAGCAACCCTATTCCCTGCTAAGAACCAGACAGTGACTGCTAGTCGGGTACCCATAGGCTCCCTATGGGTAGTTACTGTAGGGCTTTATGAGTTTAGGGCTTAGGGTAAGTCTAGAACCTATAAACCCTGAACCTCCAAATCCTGAGTCGCAAAGCCGTGCCTGTGGTTTGAAAGGTGGCAGGAACCCAGACCTTCCAAAATCCCTTAATTAAGGAATATACCTGAAGTTATAATCGGGTCCCTAAAATGATTTAAGGTATATTCCTTAATTAAGGGATTTTGGAAGGTCTGGGAAGTTGCTCTGATGCCTTTTTTGATTGCGCGGACCTGTCTCGGTCAGGGCTCCCAACCGTGGCGCGTTGGATCGGACTGGAGGTTCAGGTTTGCGGGTATAAGGTTTAGGGGTTTAGGGGTTTAGGGTTTAGGGGTTTAGGATTTTTGGGTTTAGGGGTTTAGGATTTTAGGGTTTAGGTTTAGGGTTATGTATACTTAATGGTTTAGGATTTAGGGCCAGGAACCCCTGGTTTGGGGTTGAGGGTTTACTCGGTATGATAACCTCGATGGTCTTAGTCTTACTCATACTCATCGTACTAGCTATTCCGTGGACTCAGTTGAGGACGGAGACGTGTCCCTGTCACTTTCTGTCTCCATTCGCGTCGGAGCGCGAAAAGGCTCTTCGCCTCGATTCTGTGTTGGAATCACGAGCTCCAGAGGCGTCTAATGTAGGATAATACTTAGGTTTTACAATACAGCTGGGTTCTGGCTCTGAGAATCTAAGGCTTTAAGACTAGAGGGTTTGTGTTGCTTCATAATCCAGGCGTTTCGGGTTGTGAGGCTTTACAGCAGAAGCCAAAAAGTTGGAAACCCAATAGCCTCATTCCTGAAGAGTAATGTATAGGGAATCCCAGCACTATTTGGCCTTAATCCGGTTTCCAACTTTATGGGGTTGACTGTAATGTAGGAGCCTTGATGCTTAGAGTAGGGCTTAGCGGGTTCCTTGTTTTAGTTCTGGTATAATATCCCTCCAAGCCCTGTTCTAATTATTGCGGCCCCTATGTTAGCATTCAAAACGGTCTCTAAAATGCCACTGTTAAAAGACTGTTGCAAGCAAACCAGCCACCGTTTATGAGGCCATCAAAGCTCCCTGGGACCACGGTGTCAGGGTTCAGGTTTTGGTATTTGGGTTCAAGCCCGGGTGTGGACATTACAGGCAAAGATTCTAACCTTGCAGACACGCTGGCTACAGTAGCAGGACGGATTCCGTTGAGGACGCCGGAACAAGGAGTCCTACCAGCAACTCTAAGAGTACAGGAAGCACAAGCCACCATAAACCCGAAGCATTCAATCCTAAAGCCTTTTACACCTGGACTACGAAACCCTTTTGCTGCAGGCTTGCTTGCAAGGACGCCTGGTAGTTTGCCGCTCTTCCGCCAGTTAGGACTGTGACTACGAAACCCTAAACCCTAAACCCTAAACCGCCAAACCCAAGCCTCAGCTCCAGATCAAGCCGAAACCTTCACTTCGAACCCAGCACAACGTCAGCTTCTTACTGCGCTAACCAGGAAGCTCCTCAAAACGCAGCAGCCTGAAGGCTAGGGTTTAGGGTTTAGGTTTTGCTTCCCAAGGCTGTGCATGATTTCTAGAGACGCTTGAGCATTTCCATAGAGTTCAAATACTCCGATAGTTACTTCTTTGGCCTACAGATAGGTACTTCAGGGCCAAAGTACATACTATACGGATACATGGACCCTTATGAAACATTCTCACATAAATTTGGGACCAACCCGGTGTCAGTGCAAAGGGGTTCCGGTCTCTGCAGTGAGACCGTCAAGCCTCCATGATTGGTTTTTCGGAATAATGTACGGTGTAAGCTTTAGAGCTTGGGGTTTAGAGGGTTTAGGGTTTTTTCCTTCTCGCATTGCGAGAACGATGCTCACAGGCGAGGTTTGCTTGGGGACACTGCTCTAAGTTGCAATCCACCTCGTTCACATCAGCATCAACCCTAAAAACAAGTTCAACTAAACCATCAAACAAAATTGATCTCGGATGAGGCAAATAATTCAGCGCCTAGCAGAATCTACTCTCAGCGATACTAGCCCTGACTCCTAGGCGCAATGAAGGTCCATGTGTACTCGAAGGTAGACAGTGACGATCAGTAACCGACGTTTAAGGTAACAGCCACTAGCAGTCACTAGAAGACATGTTGAGTCCGCGCACATAGCACACGGCTTCAAACAAAATGCCAATCCGCTAACTATTCCACTAATCCTTCTCATCACCCCACTCATGAAGGCAGAGCCGGACCAATCTCTAGCCCGAGGACGTAAGGTTAACGGCATTAAATTTAGGGTTCATAACGCTTGCTGAGCCCTTTAACCCGGCATGAACTCCTACCACTCAATCGATCATCCTATGTCAGCTTCGCAAACAACGGCTGACATGCATGTTTATGAGACTGTCTTCGCCCGTCTTTGCGATACAGAGTGCCGGCGCTTTTGAAGAGCAACTGCCCAAAACTTTGGAAAACTAGCAAGTTGAGTCTACATCACCCATCTCCACACCCCCCAGACTCAAGACCGCAGAGCATGAACATACTTTGTAACAGCCTCCCCAGACCTTCCAGAATCCCTTAATTAAGGAATATACCATAAATCATATTAGGGACCCGATTATAATTTTAAGGTATATTCCTTAATTAAGGGATTTTGGAAGGTCTGGGCCGTGCCCCTACCAAATCCGTGAACGAACTGAAACTAAACGCTTCCGCCTCTTCCTCGAGCCAGAAAAAGCTGGAGCAAGGCAGTTCCGCAAAAGGGCAGAGACGCCAGTCGTTTCATTCCAAGACCTCAGATTACTTCGGCTGATGATGCATATCCTGCATTACCCATAATAAGAACCAAGCCATAGTTCCCAAGTTTAGGGTCCTCAAGGTAATGCATGCAGCAAATATATCATCAACCCTAGGATTGGCAGAACCTAAACCCTAAACCCCTAAACCCTAAAAATCCCTAAACCTCGGATTCCGAAGGTGTCGGAAATGCCAGGTCGGACGAACGGGGGCTTCATACAGGGGCCTTAATTATTCGAAAACGGGGTTCCTTTAAAAGGGTCCTTAAAGAGCTACAAAAAGGGTTCTATGATGAAGGGGCCTTCACAATTAGAATAGGGTTTTGGAGCACATTATACGAAAATGATCAAGATGGTAGAGACGGATCCCCCCAGACATTTCACTGTCCTTGACCTATGAGGGCTTACACCTGATATCTAGAGTCGGATCCCGAATATCACATAAGGGCATATTTCTATAATAATTACAAGGTTTTGGAAGATCTGGGACTGGCTCAACATCGGAGAGCACGGAACCCCGCTGCGTGAGCAAGCAGAACAACCGGCTGTCTTCACACTTTGACTCGAACGTGCAAGTTCAACTACATGCGCATCAACGTACAGCGAATGAGGCGTACTCAACCAAAAACAGCGACAGCGGACAGTTCATCAGCATGCTCATGTTTCTTACTACTGAAAGCAATGTGAAAGCAAACTTCCATATATACCATCTGAATAAAGTAGCCGATATTCGTATTAGTCTTACTATCAGCATTAGCCTTCAGTATGTGTATTAGTATTAATAGTAGTAGCCCAGTAGTCTTCACGGTTGACTGCTACATGGTCCTGGGTTGAACAAATCGACCCAACCTGGCCCAAGGGTCCAAGTATGCATTTAATCATACATTGTCCAGATCTCTGACCTACATAACTACTATCCTAAACCCAGGTACCACATTATTGAATCCTTTGGACCCTTTGGGGTTCCTGGAAGACTACCTTAAAGCACTCACTCCCTACCTAAAGTCTCCATTGTAGTTCCCTTTTTTGGTTTAACCAGTTTTATGCTAAGGATCCTAAAGAGTAACCCCAAAAAGGAACTACAATGGAGACTATAGGTAGAGCCTAAACCCTCGAGCCTAAACCGACTCTTTTGAGACCCAGTTGCCCATGTAGTGACCTATTGTTCTTGGACCCTGTGTAAACCTTATAGCACCTTCGGTCCCCTACAGAATTATAGGCAGCTGGGTCTCGGGTTTAAGCTTTTGTCTTATGGATATCTGGATTCTTTAGAGGGCTCTGTTGGAAGGTTTACTTTTCAGCAGGCGCCTAGCGACGCGACGGACAACGTCGCGTCCGGTCACTTACCCTAAGGGTCCATGTATCTAAATAGTATATACATTGGCCTTAAAAGTACTCCCTATATGGGTACATTGGGCCCAAAGTATATACTATTTGGGTACATGGACACTTAGGGTTAAGGCGAGGCTGCATGCGACTCAGGGCCTACCTGGATCCTGAACCCTAGAGCTCCATGTACCCATAGAGTAGGTACTTAGGCCTTAAAGGGGTCCCTATATGGCTACTTTAAGGCCTAAGTACCTACTATATGGGGCTTCTTCGCCCCAGACCTTCCAAAATCCCTTGATTAAGGAATATACCTTAAATTATAGTAGGGTCCCTAGTATGATCTAAGGTATATGCCTTAATTAAGGGGTTTTGGAAGGTCTGGGACCTGCCCGTCTAAGTTCCGTACCCAGAGGGCCCATGTACACGACTATTATGGAATTAGGCCCTTAAAGACCATCCCCATTATGGCTTTGGGGACCTAATTCCACAATAGTAGTGTGTATGGACAATCTGGGTTATATATTATGATTTCCTTCATTACATAGATTCCTTATGATGATTTCCTCGTCATGTAAAAATCTTAAAAAGGTGGGCTGCGCAGGGTCAAAGGAAGACATGGACTCTACAACGTCGCACCCTTCTTCCGGCTACGTTACTCTCTGCGTGCAGGATACTAAGCATAAAACAGGCTATCCCCTAAAAAGTACTACATGCTAGGCTCAGACTCTCATTAAACCAGGTCCTAGAAGAGAGGTTACGTGTACTCAGTGAAGTTTATGCAGAAAACGACTGCCAAAGTCTGCTGAAGCAAGCCAGGCGCACGCAAGTCCGAGCATGCTTGTGTAAACTGTCACAGGCACGGCGAACCATACTCGATACTGTGCGACTCTGCTCGGTTGAGTCTCCCATACTCCAATAATAGGACAGCAGATGATCATATAAACGGCCACAATCTTCGACATCATTTTCAAGATGAAGCATCTTTCATCGCGAGACTTCTGCCACAAAAGGAGGAGCAGGCCGAGACGAGCCGCCACTGTGATGCTGTGGATGAGCAGGAGGGGCACGAATCCTAGGACAACATTGTGGCGAAAGTAGACGAGGCAACTGTAAATGGACCACAAGGCCACGCAGGTCAGCGGCACGAGCGCAACGAAAGGAAGAGCAATCTCGGCGTGACCCGCGCCTCGAATATCAACCCCTCGACGTGCAATCTCCCGAAGTCTTGGTGACGACATCCCTGCGGCTAGAAGCACATGGATAGCGTAGTCAACATCCGCGGTTTTCTGGCCAATCTCGGCGAAAATGCGTTCTGCGTCAGCTTGCTTGGAACATGTTGCCTGCACGATGCTCCCCAAGAATCCAGAACTGAGATGCTTGGCTTCCTCCATTTTGGCAACGCCGTTGACACGGTCCACCTCCAACAACAAAAAGAAAGTCAAACCAGCTATCAGGAGCAAACGCTGCTCCACAAACGCAACGATAGGAGGCACCACCGGAACACCGTCATCATCAGGATCGAATTCGACCGTTCGCCAATCCATGAAAATGATGCCAACGGCCAAAGCACCGATCCTGTTCAAGAGCCTGCGACCGCTATTGTGGTTGATGTTGGCGCTGATACAGGCGGCAGCCACTACGACGTACAAGGGAATCGGCTGAAGCTTGATGTGTTGCGAACAAAAGCCTGGAAACACCCAGACCTTCCAAAATCCCTTAATTAAGAAATATCCCTTACCTTAATTCATATTAGGGACCCTATTATAATTTAAGGTATATTCCTTAATTAAGGGATTTTGGAAGGTCTGGGTACATCTTGAGTCTTGAAGGCGCAACATCAACGCTGAACTAAACCAACCCCCTGGGGCTCCTAGTATACAAATAGTACCTACCCAAAGGCCCCAAAGTAGTTCCTTTTTGGGGTTATATATAGAATCCTATAAAGTAATCCCTAAAAGGAACTACTTTGGGGCCTCTGGGTACTTTGGGGCCTAAAGTCTATAAGTAATACCTACTTTGAAGCTATTTGGAGCCCCAGGGAACTGAAAGAATCAAAGGCGCCGCAAAGCATGCCCAGGAGTCCTGCAGGGAAGTCCGTTTTCCAAGATGCACAAGGCTCCGGGCAGCCTACCATTCAATCTGTGACAAGCCCACATGAACAATCTACGACCAGTCGCCCGATGTTGATGTTCCCTGCTCTGTGAAGCTGCTGAATTGGGGCTGGCGGCTTTAATGTTTCAGGGTTGAGGGCAGTAGTGCTTAAGCAGGAAAACCCTCAACCCAAGCCAAAAAGCTCAACCCGAAACCCTAAACTCTCAACCACAAATCCTGCACTTTTTTGAGTTACCGAAAGGGAACCTTGAAACGGCCAGACAAGAGTGTTTTGGGTAAGTGTCTCTATCATTACATTTGCGGACTATACGGGACTAGAGTGATATTAATCAATAGTCAGTGCCCGCCCGATTCGTCTTATACACCCAGAGCAGAGCGGCGGAGCGGTTTTTTTTTTTCCTAGGTCTGGCGCTCCCCGGCTTGCTTTCCTAAGTCTGGCCCACTGGTTGTGGTTGCCAACAGCGGCAACTGCGGTCTTTGCTGCATCAAGCTATTGGGGAACTAGAATTCGACGGCTCTGGTTTTGCTTCTGTTTTGCATGAAGCTATTGGGGAACTACAACTTGCGGAGTCTGATTTTGCTTGTGTTTAACATGAAGCTGTTGGGGAACCACTAGTTGCAGGGTTCGGTTTTCTTTGTGTTTTGCATGAAGCTATTGGGGGGTTCGCATTTGCAGGGATCGGTGTTGCTTGTCTTTTGCATCAAGCTATTGGGGAACTACAATTCGCAGGGTGCTTGTGTTCTGCTTGAAGCTATTTGGGAACTAGAATTTGCGGTGTGTTCATCTGCTTGTCTTTTGCATGAGGCCACTAGGGAACAACAATTTGCGGTGTGTTCTTGTGCTTGTGTTTTGCATCAAGCTAATGGGGGAACTACAATTTGCGGGGTCGGCCTTGTTTGTGTTTTGCATCAAGCTATTGGGGAACTACAATTTGCAGAGTCTTGTATTGTTTGTGTTTTTCATCAAGCTAATGGGGAACTAGCATTCGCAGGGTCTGGTTTTGCTTGTGTATTGCATGAAGGTATTGGAGCACTACAATTTGCAGGGTCGTGTTTCGCGTGTGAATAGTGCGAAATGCCAATTTCAAATCTTCTGTCTTCTGGCGTTGTTTTTTGGTGTCGTTGTCGACATCTAGGTCATCGTCGTCGTCGTCCTCGTCCTCGTCCTCGTCGTTGCCGTCGTGGTAGTTGTTCTTGTTGTTGTTGTTGTTCCTGTTGCTGGTGTTCTTGTTGTTGCTGTAGGGTTCGGTTTTCTTTGTGTTTTGCATGAAGCTATTGGGGGGTTCGCATTTGCAGGGGTCGATGTTGCTTGTGTTTTGCATCAAGCTATTTGGGAACTACAATTCGCAGGGTCTTCTTCTTCTGCTTGTGTTCTGCCTGAAGCTATTTGGGAACTAGAATTTGCGGTGTGTTCATCTGCTTGTCTTTTGCATGAAGCCACTAGGGAACTACAATTTGCGGTGTGTTCTTGTGCTTGTGTTTGGCACCAAGCTAATGGGGGAACTACAATTTGCGGGGTCGGCCTTGTTTGTGTTTTGCATCAAGCTATTGGGGAACTACAATTTGCAGAGTCTTTTATTGTTTGTGTTTTTCATCAAGCTAATGGGGAACTAGCATTCGCAGGGTCTGGTTTTGCTTGTGTATTGCATGAAGGTATTGGAGCACTACAATTTGCAGGGTCGTGTTTCGCGTGTGAATAGTGCGAAATGCCAATTTCAAATCTTCTGTCTTCTGGCGTTGTTTTTTGGTGTCGTTGTCGACATCTAGGTCATCGTCGTCGTCGTCCTCGTCCTCGTCCTCGTCCTCGTCCTCGTCCTCGTCGTTGCCGTCGTGGTAGTTGTTCTTGTTGTTGTTGTTGCTGTTGCTGGTGTTCTTGTTGTTGCTGTAGGGTTCGGTTTTCTTTGTGTTTTGCATGAAGCTATTGGGGGGTTCGCATTTGCAGGGATCGGTGTTGCTTGTGTTTTGCATCAAGCTATTGGGGAACTACAATTCGCAGGGTCTTCTTCTGCTTGTGTTCTGCCTGAAGCTATTAGGGAACTAGAATTTGCGGTGTGTTCATCTGCTTGTCTTTTGCATGAAGCCACTAGGGAACTACAATTTGCGGTGTGTTCTTGTGCTTGTGTTTTGCATCAAGCTAATGGGGGAACTACAATTTGCGGGGTCGGCCTTGTTTGTGTTTTGCATCAAGCTATTGGGGAACTACAATTTGCAGAGTCTTTTATTGTTTGTGTTTTTCATCAAGCTAATGGGGAACTAGCATTCGCAGGGTCTGGTTTTGCTTGTGTATTGCATGAAGGTATTGGAGCACTACAATTTGCAGGGTCGTGTTTCGCGTGTGAATAGTGCGAAATGCCAATTTCAAATCTTCTGTCTTCTGGCGTTGGTTTTTTGTGTCGTTGTCGACATCTAGGTCATCGTCGTCGTCGTCCTCGTCCTCGTCCTCGTCGTTGCCGTCGTGGTAGTTGCCTTCGTCACGAGTTGGCGGTTTGAGGGTTAGTTTAGGGGTACAGGACCAGGAGAGACCAGGGAACCAGCGGACCAGGGGACCGGAGGACCAAAGGACCAGAGGACCAAAGGGCCAGGGGACCAAGGGACCAGACCTAGCAAGGCCCCCCAGACCAGGCCAGACCTAGGAAAAAAAAAAAACAGTGGACCCGGAGCAGAGCCCCACAACACAAAAACGTTGAGGGTTCCCAGGGTACTGCTTCAGATCGAAAAAACCCTAAACCCGAAACCATAAACCCGCTAAACCCTAAACCTTACACCCTAAACCTTAAGCCCTTTACCCTAAACCTTACACCCGCTAAACCCTAAACCCTAAACCTTAAGCCCCAAACCCTATATAAACCTTAAACCCTAGCCTAAGCCCTTTGAATTTCCCCAGAAAATATTTCGGTTCGATGGAATCCTGAAAGGAAGCCCCAGAAGATGGCAAGGCGCAGCTGCTTCTTGTTGGAAGCCTTGGGTTTAGGATTTGGGGGGGGGGGCTCCTTTAAAGGGGTCTATAAGGGTTTCTATAAGGGATTGGGGTTTAGGATGTGGGGGTTTAGGGCTTATAGGGATTTGGGTTTAAGATTTGGCGGTTTAAGTTTAGGGCTTAGAGGGATTTGGGTTTCGGGTGGCCTTGTGCTTAAGGTATACTGGGGGTTGAGGGTTTTCGGGTCTAGGGGGGTTTATTTTTTGGGGGCTTCAGGATTTTGGGGTTAGGGCTATATATAGTAAACATTACCCAAATACTGAGGGTCTCTTGGTTCAGGATTTTAGGGTTTAGGGTTGCATATATATGTATATATATATATATATACATATACATAAATAAAGATATATCGATAGTACCATTACCCCAATACTGGGGGGTGTGGGGGTTTATGGTGTTTTGTGCGCTCTGGAATGGCAGCTTTCAGAAAGAGAATATTACAGCAATAGCTCTTATTACGAAGTATAGCTGTAGTAGTACGAAATGCCTGAACAAGCACCGTGGCTGCAGCCGTGTCCCGCCCCACAAGGTGTGCGGGACTGGGGCCGGGGCCAATTAGGGTTTAGGGTGTAGGGTTTAAGGCTTAGCTGTGGCGGTAGATGCACAGCACTGCGGCTTGAAGACCACTCGTATTCAGAGCACAGTGTCGGTTTTCACTTCCTAAACCTAAGAACGATGGAGCTTGAAGACAAAAGCCTCATAGTGCGGTCCTGCCTGGACTTTAGTTATGGGGTCTTTGCGGTTTGCCGTCCAAAATATGTGCGGGACTGTGGCGGAAGCACGACTCATCAAGATGGACAACGTCTAATCGTCTAATCATTGGAACTTGCAACACAGCTTCCCATGGCGACCGCGGCCGTAGAGGGACTGCCCTTGACGCGAGACGCCTACATGGTGTATTTCTGCAGCTCCGAGGGATTAAGCCCTCTAAACCCTAAACCCTAATCCCCCGCCCTAAATCCTAAACCCTAAGCCCTAAACCCAAAGCCATGTAAGCCTCAATCTTAGACTTCCTAGGACATCACGAGTTTGAAATAGACTACGTCCAATGCAGCAAATCTCACTAAAAAACACTAAGTTGCAGCTTCTGGGCGTGTTGATTCTATAAGGTTAAGACCGCACCTGCTGTAGGGTGTATGGACTGGGGTCTTATAGTTATTTTACAGTTATATACTCACGAGCTGCAACTTCAAGAACCCAAGAAGGTGCGAAAAGCTTCGTAATTGAAGAAGTGCCTATAGTCTCCATTGTAGTTCCTTTTTGGGGTTACCTTTTAGGGTCCTTAATATACAATTGGTTAAACCCAAAAAAAGGGAACTACAATGGAGACTACAGCTACTATACCCTAAACCCTAAAGATCCCTTATAGGAGCCCTCATAGGATCCCTTTAAAGGGACCCTTATAGGTACACCCCCTAAAGTAACCCTTGTGAGGAGCTCTGGCGATGAAGATGGTCTTCTCCTCCTCGTGGGCGCGGTAGGCTTCGTAGCCGCACCAGAGCCTAGTCACAAGGTCCCTTTTTTTCGGGATCCTAGGATACCCAGTAACCTAAGAAGGTCCCTTTAAAGGGATCTATATAAGGGCTGCTATAAGGGATCTTTAGGGTTTAAGGTCCCTTTAAAGGGATCTATATAAGGGCTGCTATAAGGGATCTTTAGGGTTTAAGGTCCCTTTAAAGGGATCTATAAGGGCTGATATAAGGGATATCTTTAGGGTTTAGGGTTTAGGGTATAGTACCTGTAGTCTCCATTGCAGTTCCCTTTTTGGTTCAACCAGTTATATATTAAGAATCCTATAGGGTACCCCAGAAAAAGAACTACAATGGAGACTACGGGTAGCTATTTGGGTGAAGGGTTTCGGGTTCAAGGATGCTTAGGGTTTCTACTCCCATCATTAGGGCTTTGTCAGAGCCTGGTGTAGATGCTGCAGTGGCGGTTGGGCACCACAAGGACGCACGTGGAGGCTTGGAGAGCTAGTGCGAAGGGCGATCTGCTAGGAGATTGCAAATAGGACCCTATGTCCAAATTCTGCGGGTTGGCCAGCATGCAACACCAGACGTGTCGTGAACCTGCGGGCCAGGAGTGCAAGACCTTGGACAGGAACTCGAAAACACCCTCCTGCCAGGCATGGCTGATGAACAAGTCGCAATCCAAGCCGTCCGGGTGCCTCATTAGTGCCCAGCTGACCTTGCCGGCGTCTTCCGTCACCGGCATGATGTACTGCTTGTTCACCGTGTGGATGTTCGGCCCATACTGATTGTCTGATGACTCAAACGGGTCGCTGTCATCAAGAGGACGAATCTCCCCACACTGGATGGCGCGCCAAACCTCCTGCTGCAAATAGATAAGATCTGACCGGGTGACGCACCTGAGTTCTTGTTAAGGGTTTAGCTCAAAGTTACCAGAATCAGGAAACCATATTAGTTACCTATATAGATACCTATAATTGTCATTTACCATAATCAGGAAACCATAGTAGTTACTATAGACGCCCATGTTCATTGCAATTTAGACAACACTCCTTAACAAGAGCCCAACGATGCCCAGGCGCCAGCGGTCGGGAGCTACGGTCTCATGTAAACCAAGAGCCTCTGGCGTAGTGTATCTCGAAGACGACCGAGATCTCGCCATCTCGCTTGCAAAGACAGGAACGAAACCAAGCTGCGCCGAACCCCTAAACCCTACCAGGACCTCAAAGTACCCTTTCATGGAGCCCTCATGCTCAGCAATAGCGGCAAGTCAGGGTACTTTCAGCCCCCGCATGTGCACCTTCCCTGCCAAACCAAAGCTTGCATACCTCTACAGATGAACACCAATGGGCTTCTCGAGCACGATCCCAAAGGCTCGGCGGACTCGTCATTTCAGGCCTTTTGAGCATGCCACCATACCCTAAACCCTAAACCCAAAACCCAAAACTATAAACCCTAAACTCTAAATTTTGAGTTGTGCTCTTGTGGGCCTTGGGGCATGGCCTCTGCCATGTCCGAAGTCCAACGGGTCGGTTGTATTAGGGTTGAGGGTTTAGGGTTTGGGGTTTAGGGGTTTTGGGTTTAGGGTTTACTTTCGTCTCCGGACCTTCACTATCTTCTGGCTATTAATTAATACAGGGGCCTAAATAAGTACCAATACTTATTGTCGGGCTTCCCTACTATAGTTGTAGTATACCGGGCCCCAAAACCTTATTCTAATTATTAAGGCAATAGTTATTGTGGGTGCCGGGCCTCAAAACCCTATTCTAATTATTAAGGCCCCTTTAGTCTGCATCACTAAACCCAGCCGAAATCTGCTCAACGAGGTGCCAGAAGATAGTGAAGGTCCGGAGACGAAAGTAAACCCTAAACCCCAAACCCTAAACCCTTAACCCCTAAACCCTAAACCCCAAACCCTAAACCCTAAACCCCAAACCCCTAAACCCTAAACCCCTAAACCCTAAACCCTAAACCCCTTAACCCTAAACCCTAAACCCCAAACCCTAAACCCCAAACCCTAAACCCCAAACCCCAAACCCTAAACCCCAAACCCTAAACCCTAAACCCTTAACCCCAAACCCTTAACCCTAAACCCCAAACCCTAAACCCCAAACCCCTAACCCCTAAACATCAGGCCGAGGGCCTTCTATCTCGGAGGGCTTGGGCTTTGTAGGGTTTAGGATTTATGGGGTTTAGGATTTATGGGGTTTAGGGTTTAGGGTTTAGGGGGTTCGCTTCCAGCCTAGGTGGCACGAGCCCGCATTGCAGGGCTTAAAGGGTTTACCTATAGGCCGATTAGTAGTTCGTTCTGGGGGATTAGCTTATAGGATTCTAAATATGAACCCCAAAAGGAACTACTGTGGGGCCTATGGGTTTAGGTTTCAATCTCGACCTCTCAAAGCAAGCGACAACACCCGAAATCTTCGATCCTAAACCAACGTAAGCTCAAAACAACCTTCGCCTTTTTTGAGGTAACCATGCCATTATAGCTATAATCTGTATTTATAACTATAGCATAATGTATAAGTATAACTATAGTAAAATATCCAATTTCTAACTATAGTCTTTTCGAACCACATACCCTGCATCCTACCTGTGGCCAGGGCTTATAGAGGTCACGGACTTGGGGCGTATAGGGCGTACGAGACATTCGGGCTCCAGGAGTTTAGGGTTTGTAGGGCTTTAGGGCTTTAATTCAGGGCTTAGGGTTTAGGGTAGGGGTCAAGGCAAGGCTTCAGGAGCTTTGCGGGTTTGTGGCCGGGAATATCCTATAGGGCCTTTAAGTATTGGAATAGGGTTAGGGGGCTCATTATACTATACTTACCCTATAATACCCTTCATTAAGCTTGTCTTGCCTCCTAGAAACTTCGCAAGAGCGAGCCGGCACGGCAGGGCTCTTTCTGGTCGGTTGAGACGAAAATTTCAGTGCATGGTCATTTGTGACCCCAAAAAAATATTGGTGCACAACTGATCGCAACTTGGCCTCTGTACACTCTGCAAATGCTGCAGCAAATTGTGAACCCATGGTACGCTCATTACGAGGAGCTGGACAGTGTTTCGACAAAAGTCGGCCGCATTTAGATGCAGCATGAGTCAACAGTAGAGCTGAAATAGCCTTGATTGCTTCCCGTGCATGCGACAGACATCTTTGGGTCTGTCATCTGTCAAAAATCCGCGCAGACGGTACGCACAACATCCAACCTAGGACCTATAGCACCGGCACTAACCTCAGTCAGACCTGAACTTGTCTTAGTCATAAGGCCTATACCCTACACCCGGCGAAGACTTCATGAATCCTCGGATTATGTATCCACTCGGGCTTGTATCTGTGCTCGGGTGCATTTTTACACGTCGAGTGCGTGGTCTGACTCCGAACAAAAGCATGTACCGAAAGGGCCCGGACATATCACTGCATTTCAGAAGCTGTAGCCAAACTAGGTGGGGCTTTTAAAGCCTTTGAAAAATATTAGTAAATAAGATCCTCTATAACCCAATAAGGGGAAATATAAAATGTCCCAAAGCCCGACCCAGCAAATACAGCTATTCCGCAGACTTAGTTGTTTCCGTAGATTCAGTCGAGGACGGACACGAATCGCTGTCACTTTCTGTCTCCATTCGCCAGGGTCCGCGAAAGGGTTCTTCGCCTTGGTTCTTCACAAATCAAAGGCCTTGGCAGCTTGCAAATATAGTAGGAGCCAGAGACTTGGAACATAACTATATATCCTCATGCCCTCAAGGTAGAGTATAGGGCATCCTAGCACCAATCCTCCTAAACCCATGTTCCAACTTTCTGGGGTTCACTGTAGTTGCAGGGGCTCAGGGTGTCGGGGATAACCCTAAAGGTCCAAAGCCCAATAATAAGGTACTTGGGTTTGGGATGGTAGATAGTAGTTTTGTAGGTTAGGATTTTGGAGAGTATATATGGGCCTTTCCAAAAATAGGGGACCCCAATATAGTACCCTAAATTATTAGATACTTGGACCCTTAGGGTAAGGGCTCGGATTCGACCGTCGGGAGTGGGGTTGACAGGCAAGGTTGGTATCTTGCATATGTAGGACCCTGATTAAGAAGCCCTGGGCCCTTTTAGGGTTCCTTTAAAGGGGTCTATAAGGGCTGGTATAAGGGATCCATAAGGGTACTATACTAATGTAGGAACCTGATTAAGAAACCCTGGGCCTATAACCCCAAAATAATAGCATTCATATCAGGAGCCCTAAAAAAGGCCCAAGGTTTCTTAACAAGGTTCCCACATTACACGTGGACCAGCAGGATGGATTCTGTCGAGGACCCCGGAACAAGCCATCTTTCCAGTCACTCAGTAACAGTGTATGAATCACATCGCAGGCACTCTCACGAACAACAGCTCCTATAAGTCTGGCGTTTGGGGACCCTGAACAACTGGGAGACCATCATCCATCAACATGTGGGGTTTTCGACGATAGGGGACCCTAATATAGTACCCCAAATAGTAGAATCCTGATTATAAGGGCCCATAAATAAGGTACCCCGAATTTTCAGCAACTCCCATGTTAGCTTCTCACCGAGCGGCTAGCCAAGAAGCTCGCCACGAGGCAGCAGCCTCCGGACTAGGTCTTCGTCTGGCACGCCGAGATTATGTATCTATCAAAGGGGAAAAGGAGGGACCCTTAATGGGGACCCCTACCCTGTAATGGGCTATATAATGGGTAAAAAATAGCTACATTAAGGGTATATACCTAGAGGTCCTTATTAAGGGTCCCACCTTTTACCCTTGGAATCTAGGTTAGCCCTTTGAAGCCTCTAAATGACACTGGGGTTTCCGAAAATTAGGGGGTACCTCATTTTGGGGGGTCCCCTTTTTTCGGACACCCCCATATTCGTAACATAAGATCCCACAACAAGGGATAAAACAAAATGTCCCGAAGGCCCTCCCTCGCCTTTTTCCGAATATAGGGGACCCGAATATAATACCCTTAATGGTAAGATCCTTAAAAATAAGGACCCCCACGAAAGGTACCGGCATTTTTCGGAAAAAAACCATTTAAGAAGAGGAGCTCAAATCGAAAACCTTGCGCCCAAGACTCTGAAACTTACCCACTCGAGTGTAAGTTACCTATCCGGAGCTCCGCAAGCCTTCATCGAGTTTTCCAACAAAAGAACAGCTTTTAATGCAAGACCTTTGTATCCCAAGCTCCAAGACCCCGGAACATCCATAAGTTGTGACATCCGTTTGACCCCTATTGCGGGAACCTTACTGATTAGAAGTATTTGTATGGGATATAGTGGGATTACGCTTTGCCGCTGTATGCAAGTGGTCTCTCACTGCGTCAGGCAGCACTGCACCCTATATAATTGGAGATACTATTGCCAACTCTTCGGCCCTTACATTAAATGCACTTCTCTGCCGTTCCTCATAAGCCCGCTTTGCACCCAGACTCTGCTGATAAGCTGGGAAGCCTAACCTAAGCCCTAAACCCTTAACGCTTACAAACCCTGCCTCTTCCTCGGGCCAACAAGTGCTGGAGAAAGACAGTTCCACAAAAGGGCTGAGACGCGAGTCGTTTCATTCCAAGACCTCGGAGAGAAAAACACCCAAGACCCAAAACCCTCAACCCAACACCAAAAACCCTAAACCAAAACCAAAAGGGCACCGGGACGTCCTGTAAGCATTACGTGGATCCTCTGGGCTCCGGTAATTTCTGGCGAGGTTACGTAGGGTTTAAGGGGTTGAAGAGGGCCCTCAAACGATCAACGGAACCAGGGCTCGGTTTTTTCTCCTACCTAGCAAGGACAGGGTTTAGGGTATCTTAGGAGCCTGAATAATTGGAGTAGGGTTAGGGAGCCTTATGACAGAGAAAATTGTAGTTATTCCGACCCCTGCCACATATGAAACCAGTCCCAGGACAGAAATATATTGCACTCTAAGTGGCTTTTGCACGAAAGAAACCCTAATGCAAGCAGGGTGCATGCAAGTCCGAACATGCTCGTGTAAACCGTCACAGGCAACGCGAACCACCGTCGATACCGTCCCACACTGTTTTGCTCAGCTTCCCAAACTGCAAGAAGAGGACAGCAGATGGTCAGGTAGACTGCTCCGATCTTCGACATCATTTTCAAGATGAAACATCTTTCGTCGCGGGGCCTCTGCCATAAAAGGAGGAGCAGGCCAAGACGAGCCGCAACGGTGATGCAGTGGAAGAGCCACAGGGGGACAACTCCTACGTCGATGTCGTGGCGAAGGTAGACGAAGCCACAATAAAGTGACCACAAGGTTTCACACACCAGCGGCCCGAGTGCAACGAAAGGAAAAGCGATCTCGGCGTGACCCGCACCTCGAACATCAATCCCTCGACCCGCAATCTCGCGAAGGGTGGGCGATGACATCCCGGCATCTAGAAGAACGTGGATAGCATAGTCGACATTAACGGTTTGCTCACCAATCTCTCCGAAGATCCGCTCTGCGTCGGCTTGCTTAGAACATGTTGCCTGCACTATGCTGCCAGAAAACCCCCAACTCAGATGCTTGGCTTCCTCCATTTTGGCTTCGCCGTTGACGCGGTCCACCTCCAACAGCAAGAAGAGACTCAAACCAGCAAGAAGAAGCAAACGCTGCTCCACAAAGGCCAAATAAGCAGGCATATGCTCAACAACTGTTCGCCAATGCACGAAAACGACGCCAACAGCCATGGCGCCGATCCTGTTCAAGACCTTGCGCCAGCTGGTGTGATTGATGTGCGCGCTGATACATGCGGCGACCACGATGATGTACAAGGGAATCGGCCGGATCGTGATGTTTCGCGACCAATAGCCTGCAGAAAAGTGAAAGCGGCCCGTCCGGTAATACAGTACAATGTAACATGATATATCGTCACAGAAGATAAACTCTTATTTGCAATATAGTTATTTAAAATACACATGATATAGCACAATCGAGAATGTCTTTGCTGCGGCTTCTTTGTCACATCCGAGCTCTACACCTCCACTTAACCCCTTCGTACATGCCCTCGTCCCACGAACAATGCCAGAAAGTTCCAGCAGGTGGACACTCAGTGTATCAACATTGGACTAATTAGTTTCAGTTCTTTTGTAATGCCTGAACATCTACCTATAGTATCCACTGTAGTTCCTTTTCTGGTTTAACCAATTATATATTAAGGACCCTACAAGGTAACCCCAAAAAGGAACTACAATGGAGACTATAGGTAGACTATTAACATCGAAGGCACCACACATCATGCCCAGGAGTCCTGCAGGGAAGACCAGATTGACGGATGGCATAGAATTAGGCACAGCTTAGACGGAACTCCAGAAAGTTGGAATATGGTTTCAGGGTAGGATACCTTATAATTTACAAAAAAAGGTTTAGGATAATCATATTCCGACTTTCTGGCTTTTACTTTTAACCTGTTTGAGACAGTCCCTATGCACCACAGAGAACATTGCCCTTGATATTGATTATCTGTTGCTTTGTCCATGAAGCTGCTCTTCGAATGAGCTAGGGCTTCTACGGATTATAAGTTTCAGGTTAGAGGATGTCGGCAGAAGGCTCAACGTCTGAGCCTACCCCGAAACCCTGATCCCTGAGCCATTGCCTGCACGGAACCCACGACCCCCTTGCAGCGTTCATCTAAGTCAAGGAAAGGCAAGTGGTTCGAGCCGATGCCGTCCTGAGAGGCTGGCCCAGAGAATGGCATGGCGCAGCTGCTTGTTGTTCGAAGCCTGGGTGGCATGATGAGGGAGACCCCTGAAAGGGTGGAACCTTATTGAGAGGGTCTATATCCCTGAGGGTCCCCCTAATCCTAACTCCCAGCCTCAGACTTCATCGATCGCTACACAAGGAAATCAGAAGTTGCGACTTTCGGGGCACCTATAGTCTCCATTGTAGTTCCTTTTGTTGGTTTAACCAGTTTAATATTAATTAAGGATCCTAAACGGTAACCCCAAAAAGGAACTACAATGGATACTATAGGTAGCGTACTAGAATATGTAGTCGATGTCCATATTGCGAACAAGTTTCCCTGGCGTAAAGTGAAAGATCCCCGGGCAGTCCACCCAAAACCCAATAAACTCTAAACCCGATAGATACCCAATTCAGCCCCAAAAGCTGGCAAAGAAAAACTGGAGCTCCCAAGACGACACGACGAGCTCAGAATGCACACCATGCGACGGCGGGGGCACAGATTGGAACGCTTCAAAAACCAGACCCGGACGGGAGTGGCTGGGAGATCATGGGAACCCGCGATAAACGCGCAAAATAAGCAACGGCGCTGGTAGAAGCCAAGTGGAATGTCTCGAAGTTCATATAGGACGGGGATTCTCGAGAGACCCTCCAAGGAACCTCCAAAAGCCTCGCAGCGTGGCCTTTCTTGGTCTTTCGTGTCTTCGAACTCGATATTACTCGACCAAAGAACTGTCGGCTGCTCCCGGCGCGCCGTTCTTCTTGACGTGAGAACTCTTGCCCGGCTTTTAAGGGTTGTATGGTGGCCGTCATGTTCACAGCCACAGGAACAATCTAGCCAGACAAGGGCGGCTAGAGAAAGCTCGACAAAAACTAGAAAAAACTAGATTATTACTTTGCTCATGTGCCGAAGATTTATGGCCTTGAAAGAATGAAAAGGTATGTCCGGAAGCACAACAGAGAGCAAAAGTGCTGGTCTCTCTGGCCTTGAAAACGGAAAGTTAAACCCTAAACCAAGCGCCCCGCCATGTAAATACTAGGCCAACCTAAATAGACAGTGTTAGACAATGCTAGATAATGCTAGACAATATGCTGGAAAATGCTAGATAATGCTAGACAGTGCTAGAAAATGTTAGATTCCCGCCAGATCCCGGAGGACCAGAGATGCGAGAAAATGCTAGACGATGCTAGAAATTGCTAGAAAATGCTAGATTCCGGGCAGAGCTCAGCGTTTGCCCGGGACGTTTTTCTTTCTCAGGCTGGGCCTCTTGAGTCGAAAAGTCTTTTACCTATAGTCTCCATTGTAGTTCCTTTCTTGGGTTTAACCAAACATATATTAAGGATCCTATAAGGTAGCCCCAGAAAGGAACTGCAATGGAGACTATAGGTAGACGATCATATCCACAGAATCGGAACGGGCAGTTCTCCAGTTCAGCAGTTTGGCTTCCGAGCGAAGGAAATATCCAGCAGCTTGGTTTATGGGCCTTTGACAAGATGAGTCAAACAAAAACTAAACGCTACCCCAAGGTTTGTGGACTATGACTTGCTACCCTGTTATATAGGGCGCCAACCGGTGGAATTCTCATATCATTCAACTTCACCAGGCCCTTCTCCAAAAGCTGGGTATTGAAGGAAGCAAGAAGCGCTGGCATACAGAAACTCTACATTCGACTGGGAACTTAAGACCCTTTGAGCTAAGAAGCTCTTGCAATTAAGATGGTCTTGCCCTCCTCGTGAGCGCGGTAGGCCTCGTAGCCGCACCAAAGCCTCGCTCGAAGCAAATGTGCAGTTCTCCAAATTAAGGTCCCCGTTTAGGTCCCGATAAATCCAGGTTATGGCCACAGCATTATTGGAGTAGGGTTTCTATGTCCCAGCAGTCGCGCCTCGTGTAGATGCTGCAGTGGCGGTTGGGCACCACAAGGACGCACGTGGAGGCTTGGAGAGCTAGTGCGAAGGGCGATCTGCTGGGAGATTGCAAATAGGACCCTATGTCCAAATTCTGCGGGTTGGCCAGCATGCAACACCAGACGTGTCGTGAACCTGCGGGCCAGGAGTGCAAGACCTTGGACAGGAACTCGAAAACACCCTCCTGCCAGGCATGGCTGATGAACAAGTCGCAATCCAAGCCGTCCGGATGCAACATCAGTGCCCAGCTGACCTTGCCGGCTTCCTCCGTCACTGGCATGATGTATTGCTCGTTCACTGTGTGGATGTTTGGTCCATACTGATCGTCGGATGGCTGAAACGGATCACGGTCATCAAGAGGCCGAACCTCCCCACACTGGATGGCACGCCAGACCTCATGCCGCAAATGGATCAGGTCTGACCTTGTGACGCACCAGCGGTCGGGAGTTACTGCCTCATGCAAAGCTAAAGCCTCTAGCGTCGTAAACCTCGCTCTCGCTGATGAGCGGGATTTCGCCATCTCACACGCAAAAAGTCGGCTACACAGCCTTTGAAAGCTTCCCAAATTTTGTTTCCATGCCCCGAACATGAAAACTAACCTGTCCTAAAAAACTAGAGGAATAGCCCTCGCTCATACCCTGTCGGAGCGCATACCTCAAGCTTTGAGGCTGCGGTTATGAGAGTCCAAAAACGAAAATAGGCCGGTGCTACATGATTCCTTTTGTCCGACATTTGAAACAACCTGTACATGTTACCTCTCTAGGGACTCATGTTTCAAGGCAATGCGCCACACTTCACGAAGCTTTCGGGCTGTATCCTGTCAGCGCATTTCATGTAGGGTTTTTCCCTAGGGTTGAGGGATTTGGGGCTAAGGGTTTAGCAAGCATTTAGGGCTTAGCATTTAGGGCTTAGGGTTGAGGGTTTAGCAAGCCTTGCTGCTGTAGCTCAAGGGCAAGAAGATGTGCAAGCAGAGACGAAGACTGCATCAGACCCGAGCCCCCGCAGTGCCCTAAACCTTGATGCTACCTATAGTCTCCATTGTAGTTCCTTTTTTGGGGTTACCTTATAGGATCCTTAATATATAATTGGTTAAACCAAAAAAAGGAACCACAATGGAGACGATAGGTAAACCCTGATCCCTCAAACCCCAAGCCCAGGTAGTCATCCTACTGTAACAGTACGCGCAAGGGATATCGTTTAAAGCAATGGTAACCATGGTAGCAATAGGCAATAGTAGCGATACTGGCATGACTACTACTTGTAGCACTCGCGAAGGCAGCATTATTAGCTGCATTAGCAGCACGTGCACATCTACCAATAAGCGCAACTTACATGTCCCTCACCAAAACACAGTCACGAGAATAATTCCAACCATGGCAATAATAGTAGCAATACTGCAAGTAATGTAGCAATTTTCGATTTTATCAGCGTCATGATTTGCTGCCATGGTACCCATGGGGCTCATACTAGTTCTTTTTGGGGATTACCTTACAGGATGCTACATATGAACTCCAAGAAGGAACTACTCTGGAGCCTATGGGGACTGGCAATAATCGTCTGTGAAGGGCAAAATCATCCGGAGAAGTCAGGGCCGATTCTGCCCTGCTGTTGATGATATCGATCCTGCATTACCTTAGGGACCCTAAACTATGGGAGTTATGGCGTATTCCTTATTATGGGTAATGCAGGATTTACACCATCAACCGAAACACTACCTGGAGGCTCATACCCTACCCCTTTTCTAGGATACCTAGTTTTATGGTCAGGATCTGTCATATACAAAAGTAGGTACCCGAGAAAAGGGGTAGGGTATGAGCCTACAAGTATGAAGTGTCAGGGTGTCTTTCGTCCTGCAGGTGTTGGAAGCCCAGCTAGTAGTCATATAGCCCAAAACAGGAATCAGACCTGGAATAGTAACCGCAATAAGTGCAATGATAGCCCTAAAGTAATTGAAACTCTGGTTTAGCCTATAACAGGCTATTTATCCACCTATTTTGGGGTTCAGGTAGACCCTAGACCCTAAACCCAAACCCTAAAATGTCAATACATAGCAGCGTTGGAATCGGGAGACCAGAAACAGAAGCGCCTTTTTCCTTCGTGGTCGGGATAGGTAGGCTTTTGGGAACCGAGGTTTAAAGGCTTTGTGGATCAAGATTTACTGTAGGGGCCTGCATAGTTAGAACAGGGTTTGTGCGCATAGTATACCAGAATCCAAGTAAGGAACCCCCAAAACACTATATTCCATTTATTAACTAAGGCCCCTATCATGACTCGTCTTGACAAACGTCGGTGCTTGTCACTCACGTGCGGAGCAAGCAGCGAAGAACTACCGCTGTCGGTGCTTGTCACTCAAGTGCGGAGCAAGCAACGAAGAACTACTGCTTTTAGGGTTCGGGGCTTCTGAAGGTTGAGGTCTACGGGCTTACAGGGCTTCTGCTTCTGAGAACGTCGGGCTGGAGGAGTTCGGGTTGTGTATGCTGTTTGCATCCACCCTCTCGGCTTTAGGGATATTAGGGTTGAAGGAGTTTGGGGTCCGCGCTCGGACGAGTCGGGCCAGGACTATGTCCTTGTCCGCTATGCGGCCTGGCTTCTTAACAAAGCATGTGCAACGGGCCCGGACAATTTATGACTAGATTTCATTCAGAAGCTGCAACCAACTTTGCCTACAGTCTCCGTTGTAGTTTCGTTTTTGGTTTAACCAATGTTCTAATCAGGATCCTAACAAGTAACCCCAAAAAGGAACTACAATGGAGACTATAGGTGGCTATTCTGTAGACTCAGTTGAGGACGAAGACGAATCGCTGTTACATTCCGTCTCCATTTGCACCGGAGTGCGAAAGGGCTCGTCGCCTCGAGTTGTTCGGAATCATGAGCTCCACCCCAAGGCCCCAAAGTAGTTCCTTTTTGGGGCTCATATTTAGAATCCTATAAAGTAATCCCAAAAAGGAACTACTTTGGGGCCATCAAACTTTAGGCTTCATGGTGTCTGCTTAGGGCTGAGTCCAAGGTTCAGGTTTCGGAATTCGGGCTCAGGGCTTCGCCACCAGGTTCCGACTACACGCGACGAAAACCTTGCCTTGCATGCATTCGGGCTGGAGGATGGATTCCGATGCAGACCCAGGAAAAAAGGAGTCCAACAAGCAACTCGGAGAGCATGTGCATCACATCTCAGGCGATCTCAGAAACCCATCTCGACAGCAAGTCCTATAAATCCAGAGCTGGGGGATCCTGTCGTCAAAGCAAAACATAGGAAACCCTCAAGCATCCACGTGTCAGCTTCTCACTGCGATGCTAGCCAAGAAGCTCGGCACAACGCAGCAGCCTCGCGAGTAGGTCTTTGTCCGGCATTCTACCCCCCAAGACTACGCATCACATAAAATTGAAAGGGAATCTCGACATTATTCCGGTTGACATCCGGTGCTTCAAGCTGGAGTATTGATGGATAGACATGACATCCTGCAGTTGGCATGCTGAAACCCTGAAGAAAAAACTCGCTCTGCTATTCTTTTGGTACCAAGCCAAACCCGGAAACACCCTGAAGCAATGAACGGGCAAAACACCGTTTGTGGAGACTGCCTCCGTTCGTTTTTGCAACAAGAAAGAAGCCCTTGTGTACGCGAAGTGGAGTTCGACCCGAAAACCTTGTGCCTGCAACTCTAACCCTAAGGCTCAAAATAGCCCGAAGGCCTCATACAGTATGGTCTTTGGGCTCTAAGCCTTAAGATATGAGTCCTTGCAGCTTACGGGTAAGCCTCAGCCAGGAAAACCCAAACCTTCAACCGCAAGCTTCAAGAAACGAACCTTTCAACGCAAGATCTTTGAACACTCCAAGTTTTAAGACCCAAATCATACATGCACAACTTGAAACATCCGTGTGCTCCGATAAACACACTCCTCTGCCTCCGCGCGCCAAAAAGATTTGCAGTAAGGCACTTCCGCAAAGGGGCAGAGAGGCGAGTCGCTTCATGCCAAGACCTGTTGAATCCTATAAATCGGGCGATAGAAAGATCAGCACAGATTCACTGGTTCATCTCAGAACTCTGCATCGGTAAGCAGGGAGCTGGTGCAAGAAAACAGCCCGTAATCTTCAACTTGACACTTTGAAATCTAACGTGCCAGTAGGGTTTAGGGTTTAGGGTTTAGGGTTTAGGGTTTAGGGTTTAGGGTAGTGCCACATCATACCACATCCCCTAGAGCATCATGGCAAAGATTACGAACTATCCATCAGCGTTGTTAGTTGCCCAGCATTCTCAGCACGACTACGGCCCAATTGCCGAGGCTCATAACATCCTCAACGTTCCCTCAAAGGGGAAAAGGAGGGACCCTTGATGGGGACCCCCACCCTAGAATGGGCTATATAATGGGTATATAATGGCTATATTAAGGCCCTTGGATTCCCTTCCACAGGACTGCCCTATGCTAGGAGCTCAATTGCCTGTGGAGTGGGTTACTGTTCGTGTTGCTTCGATAAACCTCGTACCGCCCATAAGCCTGCAACTCACTATTTGGCCACCGTTTAGACAGGGAACTGAGATCTTGTCTTTTCAGCAGGGGCCTAGCTCGGAAGTTTAGAACAGAAGCGCATTGCTCCTGGGGTGGCTTTGCACACAAGGAATGCTAATGCAAGCAAGGCGCACGCAAGTCCGAAAGTGCACGAGTAAAGCGTCAATGGCAAAGCAAACCACCGTCGAAACTGTTCAGCTTCGCTCCGCTGGGTCTCCCAAACTGCAAGAAGAGGGCAACAGATGATCAGGTAAAGTACCAGTATCTTCGACGTCATTTTCAAGATGAAACACCTTTCGTCGCGGGGCTTCTGCCATAAAAGGAAGAGCAGGCCAAGACGAGCCACAACGGTGATGCCGTGGATGAGCCACAGGGGGACAAATCCTATGCTAATGCCGTCGCGAAGGTAGACGACGTCGCAATAAATTGACCACAACGTTTCACAGGTAAGCGGCACGAGAGCAACGAAAGCAACAGCAACTTCGGCGTGACCGGCACCTCGAACATTAATCCCTCGACGTGCAATCTCGCGAAGTGTTGGCGATGACATCCCTGCAGCTAGAAGCACGTGGATAGCGTAGTCGACGTTCGCGGTTTTCTCTCCAATCTCACGGAAAATCCGTTCTGCGTCCGCTTGCTTGGAACATGTTGCCTGCGCGATGCTGCCTGAAAACCCACAACTCAGATGCTTGGCTTCCTCCACTTTAGCTTCGCTGTTAATGCGGTCCACCTCCAAGAGAAAGAATAAAGCCAAAGCAGCAAGAACAAGCAGGCGCTGCTCCACAAATTCTGCAAAAGCAGGTATATCCTCAACATCTGTTGGCCAATGCACGAAAATGATGCCGACAGCCATAGCACCGATCCTGTTCAAGAGCTTGCGACAGCCATCGTGGTTGATGTTGGTGCTGATACATGCCGCCACCACAAAGATGTACAAGGGAATCGGCCGGATCGTGATGTATCGCAAGCAGAAGCCTGGAAGGGTCAAAGCGATTTAGGCTTTGGGGTTTCGGGTTAGGTTTAGGGTTTAGGGTCAGGGCTCATCTCATAAGAGTCTTTCTTCTTTGGCTGCTATGACACATCTGAATGCTACACCCTCACACATACTGATCCCGCGAATTGTGCCATCAGGTGTCTAACTTGGACCCTCAGTGTGTCAACATTGGACCACTTCGATCTCCTTCACAACGGCAACTATAAACATCAAAAGCACCACAGTAGTTCCTTTTCGGGAGTTCATATGTAGAATCCTGAAGAGTAATCCCCAAACAGGAACAATTATGGAGCCTATAGGTATACCCATAGGCCCCATAGTAGTTCCTTTTCGGGATTACCTTATAGGATTCTACATATGAAACCCAAAAAAAAGGAACAACAATGGGGCCTATGGGTACCCCTAAGCCTATGGGTCTAAGCATCAAAGGCACCACAGAGCATGCCGAGGAGTCCTCAGAGGAAGATTCCGTTTTTTTCAGAGATTTTTGGCGCTTTGGGAGGGTCTATACCGAATCTGTCCAGAGCCCTTATAATATCATATAGGTGGGTTTAGGGTTCAGGGATTCTGTCTACCCATAGGCTCCTTAGTAGTTCCATTTTTGGAAACTCATGTCTAGAATCCTTAATAAGGTAATCCCGAAAAGGAACTACTATGGGGCCTGTGGGTAGAGCCCGTATAGTTATGCACCAGCGAAATCATTTCCCGTGACATAGACTTTCTTTTAACCGCATCCACGAAGCTGCTACTTGGATGGGGGCTGTTGGAGCTTCTACAGTTCAGTTTTGAGGGCTTGACCGCTTAATCCTACACTTTGTGTAGAGCTTACCCTTATGGACCATAGAAACCCTAAGCCGGTTCTTGTAGGGAACCTAAGACCTCCTAGAAAGGCACTGCTGTAGCTCTATCCCTTAAGGACATAAGGGCCCCATACCTCACAGTATGTATTCCCACATATGTAACCGAACCCTTTTCGTCTTTAAGATATCAAAAGCAAGGAAGTGGTTCGAGCCGATGCAGTCCTGAGAGGCTGCCCCAGAGAATGGCACGGCGCAACTGCTTGCTGTTCGAAGCCTCAGACTTCATCGATCACAACAGGAAATCAGAAGTTGCAGCTAGAATGACGAAGCGGCCAGAACACAAGTACGGGACCGCAGCAGCATCACGACTCGGCATGCTGACTCTATAAGCTTAAGACATCTGCAGGAACCCAACTGAAGCGATTCTATTTCAAGAGCCGAAAGCGGGGTTTAGGGTTGAGGGCTTTTAAGGTTTAGTTAATTGCCTGCTGCTTCGCACGGAAAAGCCTGCATTTCTACTCCAGCTTCAGGTCCCCACACGATACAGGTTTAAGGTTATGGAGCTGAGGGAGCTAAGAAGCTCTGGCAATATAGATGGTCTTTTCCTCCTCGTGGGCACGGTAGGCTTCGTAGCCGCACCAGAGCCTCGCTACAGAAATCGGACACGGGTTTTCGGTGTCTCTCTCTCTCTCTCTCTCTCTATATATATATATATATATATATATATATATCAGTTCGTACCTACATACATGCAGTGTATGTATGCATGTATATATTTACATTTTACATATGTATTTGCATGCATCTGCACAGAATCTTATGACACACACACACACAAACATACAAACACACAAACACACACCCAGACACCCACACACCCGCAGACGCGCACACGCGCACACGCCCACACGCACACACAAACAGAAGGGCCAAAACAGCATTTTGAGGTTAGGAATCAGGGTTTTGGCTTGAGCGGGTTGAAATTTTGGTTTCGCAATGCCTCGTGTAGATGCTGCAGTGACGGTTGGGCACCACAAGGACGCACGTAGACGCTTGGAGTGCTCGTGCGAAGGGCGATGTGCTGGGAGATTGCAAATAGGAGCCTATGTCCAAGTTCTGCGGGTTGGCCAGCATGCAGCACCAGACGTTCCGCGAACCCGACGGCCAGGAGTGCAAGACCTTGGACAGGAACTCGAAAACACCCTCCTGCCAGGCATGGCTGATGAACAAGTCGCAGTCCAGACCATCGGGATGCAACATCAGTGCCCAGCTGACCTTGCCGGCTTCCTCCGTCACTGGCATGATGTACTGCGTGTTCACCGTGTGGATGTTTGGCCCATACTGATTGTCTGATGACTCAAACGGGTCACGGTCATCAAGAGGACGAATCTCCCCGCACTGGATGGCACGCCAAACCTCCTGCCGCAAATAGATCAGGTCTGATCGCGTGACACACCAACGGTCGGGAGTTACGGTCTCATGTAAAGCCAAAGCCTCTGGCGTCGTAAGCCTCGTTGACGAGCGGGACAAGGCCATCTCACGTGCAAAAGCCGGCTTCACAACTATCTAATACTATCTACGAATCTCTTTCGCAGCGTCCAGCTTGTTCTTCCAGACCCCGAACATGAACAGTAAGCTGTCTCACTCGTGAAGCTGCGGTTCAGGAGGGAGTGAAGAGACGAAAAGACCTGTGCTACATGATGCCCTTTGTCCGAAACTTGAAAACCTAACCTGTCAGGCAGAAGGTAACCCGGTACCTCCCTAACCTGTATATATCCCTAAACCCTACAACGTAGTAGGCTTTGACTATAATTATAAAGGGTCTAACCCCTAAAACGGTAGGCGTTGGGATCCCCAGGTAAGGCTCTAGAGGGACTCATGTTTCAGTCCAAGGGTAAAAGGACGGACCCTTAATAAGGACCCCTCGGTATATACCCAGAAATATAGCTATTATATCCCCATTATAGAGCCCATTACAGGGTAGGGGTCCCCATTAAGGGTCCCTCCTCTTCCCCTTTGATTCAGGGATTGCGGACACACCCGAGGCGCCTTTGGGCTGTTCTGAATCTTAGGGTATACCGTATACCTGGGAGTTTCCGAAAATAGGGGATCCTAAGAAAGTACCCTATACGGTAGGATCCTTGTTACAAGGACTCCAAAATAAGGTACCCCTAATTTTCGGAAGATCCTAATATAGCATCCTGAACAGTAGGATCCTTGTTATATGGACTCCAAAATAACGTACCCCTAATTTTCGGAAGATCCTAATATAGCATCCTGAACAGTAGGATCCTTGTTATATGGACTCCAAAATAACGTACCCCTAATTTTCGGAAGATCCTAATATAGCATCCTGAACAGTAGGATCCTTGTTATATGGACTCCAAAATAACGTACCCCTAATTTTCGGAAGATCCTAATATAGCATCCTGAACAGTAGGATCCTTGTTATATGGACTCCAAAATAACGTACCCCTAATTTTCGGAAGATCCTAATATAGCATCCTGAACAGTAGGATCCTTGTTATATGGACTCCAAAATAACGTACCCCTAATTTTCGGAAGATCCTAATATAGCATCCTGAACAGTAGGATCCTTGTTGTAAGGACTCCAAAATAAGGTACCCCTAATTTTCGGAAGATCCTAATATAGCATCCTAAACAGTAGGATCCTTGTTATAAGGACTCCAAAGTCAGGTACCCCTAACTTTCGGAAACTCCCCCACTTCTCGCCGTAAGAAGTTGTGCAATGCTGCTGAGAGACCCTGAGATGGAACCCTGCCCTTTGCTTAAAAGAAGGTGGCTTAGAGTTTGGGGTTTTAGGGTTTAGGGGTTTAGGGTTTACTGTGCTTCAAAAGGCTTATCGGTTTAGGGATCAATCTTTTGACGAAGGTGCTTCAAAGGCTTAACGGTTTATAGGGTTCAATCTTTTGAATAAGGTGTTTCAGGGGCTTAGCGGTTCGGGTTCAATCGGACATCGATTTTTGGGGGTTTAGGGGTGACCTATCACCCTCTCGCTGGCAGTGTGAAGCTGCACTGGCGGACGTAGATAACCTCCGCTTTCGCAGAGGGCCGGAAGTACCTAGTATATAGTAGAATGCAGGGTTTAGGGCTTTGGGCTTTGTAGTAGAAATTTCACGTTTTTATATTAGGAATGGCTGTTATGACTTGGGGACTTGGGGAATTAACCCACTCGACCCTTGCGGGTCTCAGAAGCCCTTATGCTGTGAAGAGCCCTGCCGGCCATTTGCTCGACGAATCGCGCACCGTCTGCCCCGCCAAGATTGGCGGTATGGGCAAGGTCGAGGGTTCAGGGTTTTGGTGTGGGTCAAAAGCTGGCTTGAGAGTGTAAAGGGTGTTTATAATGTCAAAAGTTGATAACAGCATGGTCTTAGTGGCCACTCAAAGACCGCTCCTGTCCACCGTGTGGCACCACAAGTTGGAAGGAAACTTCCCAGACCTTCCAAAACCCCTTAATTAAGGAATATACCTTAATTTTGAAACATATTACCCTGGCCATCCGGGTTTGCATTATTAGCATACTCGGCCAAGTGCTCAATCTGAACGCACTTGGCCAAGTGTGCTAGGTTTCAATACTTCTACGGGGCGACTTGTGGTTTCTACGAAAGCATGCTCTTGGAACACACATGATCTCTGATGCATGGTATTTTTGCAGGCTTTGCACTGTCCAACTATCGATAACTATGGATTCGAGCTCCTCACATAGCAACAATGTACCATTCTTGCATAAATTCTAACACTACATATACAACAACACCAGGCACTGCAGCCCTTATATTATATTATTATATATACTAATAATACTATTATTATTATAACGTTTAACAATATACTCAATGATATATATATACAATGCATATTTTCACGTGTATGTGTTATATACACGGTTATATATAAGAACATTATGTAATATAACGGAAAATACTAATGATATTGATACAATATATAATAACATATAATATAATGAACATGTGTGCCCCTTCCTGTGCTGCATGTCGGCATGCGCCGTGTGCTGAACAAGTGGGGGACATGCCTGGACCTCGGCATGTGATATCGAGCTAGCTATTACAATTCTCGTATTAGCAGATTATTAACAATATAGCAACCTGTGCACGAGGTCAGAAGCGAGTTTCTGCATCGAAGACATCCAGCTCGAAACCCTCTAGTGACCCTGCTTTTGCTGCAATGTTTTATTCTGGGGAGCTTGCATTGCAATTGCTTTGATTGCACTTGTGCATTGCAATTGAATTCTTGGCCGGTGCAACTCTACACCATGCAAATCTAGTGCTCGAAGCATAGCAATCTTTGTTCGTGGGGCTTTGCACTCTCCTTTCTTCGAAGGCCAAGCAGTGTGATCAGTGAATTGCCCATAGCTGCATATGTATATACATATGTATATATGGCCTATATATAGCTGAACCAGGGCATGGCCGCTCAGCTGACAAAGTCCGCCGAGGAGCGTGAGGCCTTGGCTGAGTTGCAAGGGCAACTCTTGGAGGACATTCGATTCAACTTCGTCTGATGATGACAAGCTGACGATGACATACAATTATTATTATTGTGCCGCAGTGCAGGCTGTGCTTGCGGCAATAATAATATAATAATATTATTATATTATTAATGAAAGATGATTATATATTATAGTGTGCCGCAGTGCAGGCTGTGCTTGCGGCAATATATAATCATATAATAATGAAATAATAATAATATTGTGCCGCAGTGCAGGCTTTGCTTGCGGCAATGAAAGATATATTCAGCTGACTGCCATGCATGTGCTTTGCAAGTGCTCGCAATTTAATTTTGTGCCGCCGCGCGGAAGAATCCGCAAGCGGCCGCTGCAGGATCTTGTCAACAGCTGGATGCTCTCTCGAGCGGATCGGCTGCCGAATATTCGCAAAGACGAGGCCATCATCATGGTTTCTAAATATAATAATATTGCGCCATCTGATTGTACACTGTCAGGGAGGGAACGTGTTTGTGATGGTGCCGCCATGCCCGGACAGCCAAGAGCAGGTGTGTGTCTCAGGTGTTCAGCTGCTGTTCCTTTCATCGTTCATATATAATATATAATAATTGTTGTCAGGTCGAGGCCAACTTTGACTTCTTGGCTTCCTTCTATGCAACCTTTTCGGCCATCGGGATTCCCAAGTTCTCTATTTTCAAGGTGCAGCCTGAACTTCTGATTGCCAAGAACATCTGTTGTTAATAATGAGCTGTGCCAGGCAACACTGCTCCTCCTCAGCAAACGGTACCACCTGCGTGAGGGAACTATGAAGATGCAGAAGGCCTGTCTACATATATGTATTGCATTGTGCGGAACGTTTTCTTAACAATTCCTAATAACTCGATGTTTGGTAGGCCTGGGCCGGGTTTCAAGCCGGTGTGATGCGAAGCACGTGTACCCATGGTTTCAAGCTGGCCATGCGGACAAAAGCAGCGAGGATACGGGGTTGAGCCAAAGGGTTTCCATGATTCTATCCCATTATTATATTATTATGTCATGCTGACTTGGAAGTCGCAGGAGTGACAAGATCCGCCTCCTGAAGGAGATCATCCATACGACTCTGCATGAAGCAGGTGGTGGGAGTAAGAATAATAGCACATAATATAAGAAGAATACCAATAATACATACATGGCTCATCATTTTTAAAATATATACATAATCTGGTCAGGCATTCGAGTGGGTGAAAATGAGATGCTTGAGGATGATGAGAAGTTGGATTCTTCGGCCATATATTTGCTATGATTGTTGATTTTGGGATAAGTGTGTCTTGTGAACTCAGGTAACGGAGCCCAGCCCGGACTCATTGGCCACTATGTCGACGGCGGCTCCGACGTCCTCTTCGCAGGACTCAGCATGCATTTGTGATTCGTGGTTGTGTTCCGATTCAATGAACATGAAGGCAGAGCCGAGCCCGATGACGATGGCCAGTGGTTCGATGATGGACGTGCAGGACCCCACCGGGTTTATGAAAGATCTGGTTTGAGACGAAGTGCACATCCCGACAGGATACACTGCTGATGTACGACCCCGACGAGGAGCCTGTGGTTGATTTGCCAAACAACCGTCAGGGTGGAAAGGCCACTCTGATTATGTCATCATGACATGCATGATGCAGCAGCGCTTTCGCACGAGTAACATATAGCGAATAATAATACTAAGGATCGGGATCCGCTGATGAAGATCGCTCCGGTTTTGCCTCCCATGGGTCTGGAGGCACAGGCCGAGGAGCTGTGTGAGAAGGCCATGGAGATCGAGGAGAGTGGGGGCAAGCCTTCTGTTGCCGAGTTCGATGTTGTGAGTGCACAGCAGAAAGCACCCTGGTGTGATGAGACTGTGTGTGCATGTTGCTCCAGGATGACCTTTACGAATTATGAGATGATTCTTCAGCCAAGGTTATGAGTGCTGTGCGCTCGGAAGAGCCTGAGATCTTGATCGAGCCCAAGACCAAGAAGGCCAAGGCGAAGGGCAAAGCGAAGGCGAAGGCGAAGGGAAAAGCAGGTGACAGCAAGG